ATTTATTTGAAATAGAAATATTTTGTAACATTATAAATGTATTTACCATCTCTTTTGATTAATTTAATGCATCCCTGCAGAATACAAGTATTAATTTCTTAGTGTATTCTACGTTAATATAAATATTAATATTTATATTAAAATGTAATTTATATATCATTGCTAATACCATTATATAAGATTTTTGTCATTTCACACATTGTCTACTTGCCTTATTAACACAGAGAAATAATAAAGTCAGGCCCTTGAGGCTAAAAGGATCCTGATTTGTGGCCCCCGAGCTTTCCAAAGTTAAGCCCTGCTTTACTCCATTCTAGGTTCAAGGTTATTAATCTGCCATTAGGAAGAAAACATTAGAGTCCATATGTGTGTGTGTGTGCATGCATGTGTTGTGTTGACATACTGTTCTGCCTAAAACTGTACACCATCTCAGGTATTTATCTCCATCAGGAACTTTCATCCCTCTGCAGCACTTTATCAGCCATTAACAGCCTCCAATTACACACGCTTCAGCAATTAAGGCCATTTCATTACCTAATATAGTCAAACCTAGTCTTATGACTGAGGGGATAATTTAGTGCCTTAAACCCAAACTCAGCATGGGATTAGAGGGGAAATCTGAGCACAACAAACAATCTTTACTGACTCTAATATACACCCATCCAACCAGGGCACAATGCTGTGAACTTTGACCTCTGAAGTGACTCTGCTATGCCCAGGTTAACGTTACACCCTGTTTTACCCCACAGCTGCGCCTCATTATTACACCCCATTAAAAAGCGGGCAGGCATCGAAGGGAAGCTTGGCAGCTTTAAAGTACGTGAGAGAGAGAGAGAGAGACAGCACAGACAGTGTGCGAGAGAGAGAGAGAGAGAGAGGATGACTAAATGCAGACAGAGGCGTTAAGCCATTAAGGACTATTGTTGGACTCAAATGGCCGTCTTATAAGATCTCTGTCAATGGGAAATGTAGCCTAATGACCTGAACAGACTTCAAAGACACACAGACACACTCAATCACAGCCTCGCTCTTACACACTAACACACACACATACACATACATAAAATGAAGAGCAAATGGAGAGTCTTTTGGTGCCTGTCCACATTTTCACTGCACTGAAGGAATGCTCGTAATATAAAGGGCTAGTAAATTACAACTGCATGTCTCTCTGTGTACTAGTTTTGCTTTTGTATACATTATAGGAAGCTTGTACAAAAGACAAATTAGCTGCAGAATGTCTATATGCTTCCAGAAATTAAAATGGAAGTGACTAATTACAAAACTGTA